TTCTGGACCCGAGGGCGGCTTTTCTCCCCCCTGTCGGTAGTGTTTTGGGAAAAGTTGCTGGGCCTCTGGATCCCGTAGGCATGCCTGGGTCATCTGTGCCCGGGGTTGCAAAGGAAGGAAGCCTTTTCCTTCTTAGGCTGCAGAACGGGGAATCAGGTGTGGACTTCTCTCAGGGATGGGGGTTTATCTGGACGGGTGGAGGAAGACGTGACTCCGGCACTACCTCTGTCCTTGTCCTTTTAAAGCGGTATTAGCTTCGGTGTCCAATCACCCAGCTTTTTTTTTTTTTTTTTTTTTTTTTTTTTGAGCATCTCTTTTCGCCCAGACCATGTGTTAGTAACAGCGGATGCAAGATGCATAAGATTCTGTCCCCACGCTCTGTGAGTTTAGTTTCCGGGGAAACGAGCATAAAAAGCCACGCCTGGGTTGATCCGATTGACCGGAGTGGGGTCTGGAAAGCCTTCCAAAAAGGAGTGAGGCTTGAAACTGAGTCTTGGGGGTGTTTTGTTAGATGTGCAAGATGAGGGAAATGTTTCCTGCAGAGGAAGGAAATAAATGTAAAGGTACAAGAGGTGAGGCACCTTAGTGCATTTTGGAAACTGCAGGAAAGGCAGAGGTGTGAAGAGGGGTAGTCAGGTCAGATCAAGAAGGTTCTTTGAGAAGTCAGTAAAGGAGAAACATGGGAGGTACTTATTTCTAGAGGCAGGCAGATGGGTGGAAAGTAGGATATTCTGGATGAGGTCAAAATTCTGCACATTCTCATGTAGGTGAGGACTGTGTGTCCCTGCGACAGGTGGAGTTTTTAAAGGCTGCAACTCAGTTTCCACAATTTTATGGGGTAAATGCCACAGACGTTTTGATTATAGTAAGGATATTTAGGGAATATGGGGTATTACATTAGTAACTTAAACTGAGAGTGTTTTATTTTTAGAACTTTATTAAGAAGTGTGCTGCCTGCTGTACAGTTTACAATAGAGAGTAGGTTGTGAGTTAGAAATATAACAAGGTGTCACAGAGGTGTTGGCCCTCTGAGCTGTTCTGATCGTGGAGTTCTCTGACGGATATAGATAGCCTTTGTGGAAAATAGGAATCTGGAGAATTGTGCGTTCCCAAAAGTAACTTTATAAAGTGGAAAGCATGGAATTAATGAGAATGGGGTTCAGGTTGCTGTTCACCCCTGGGCCCGGGAGATCACTTGGGTGGAATGGGATGGGGGCCATGTGGGTTGAATGTGGTTTCTTGTCCAGATCCTGTCTCTTGTTTTGGGTGGTGAATTCACTGGTGCTTGTAGCATTATAATAATTAATTGAAGCAGGCCATAGAGGTGTGTCATTGCTGTGGTTAATCCATTTCTCTGAATTTGAAGATCAGTGAGAAGGAGAAAAGTGAAGAAAGCTCTTCTGCATTTACTGGGATGTGGAGATCTGATTTATAAGCTCCGAGTTAAAGAAAACTAGCAGACGCTGGTGAGATGACATTAGTTTCTAATATTTAAAGTGTGTTTTCAAAGGTTTTGAGACCAGAAACAAGGAACTTTTAAGGAACATGAGATTTTGCTGCACAATGACTTCCAAAGCTTGCAGAGCGAGGCGAATCAGATGGAATTGTCAACAGCCAGCTTCAGTGTAGACTGGAGTCGGAGGAAGTGTGGTCTCGTGAAACCTCACCAGCAGCAATGACATTGTTAAGTACTGGGTTCTTAGCCAGAAGGACTCTGCTGGAGGTAGAGAGCCTCTGCGCTGCTTGATTTTGTAACCCTGAAATTGGGAAAATGTTTGCATCCGTTTATTCTTTTGGCAGGGATATATCCAGCAGCCTGTTACCTCACACCCCCTCCCCCACTGCTGCTTCTCCCCGCCCTTTTACCTATTCTTTTTTTCTTTTTTTTAAAAATTTTTATTGTGGTAAAATATACATAACATAATATAATATACATAAAAATTTGCCATTTTTAAGTGCATGGTACCATTGTGCGACTGTTACCACCATCTACCTCCAGAACCTTTTGCCTGCTCTTTACTCTCTCGTGGAGCCTGTGGGCATTGTGTAGTTTCACTGCTGATTCATGTGGCCAAATAGAATTTACTTAATTATTAATATTTCAAAACTGTTTATTAAATGCCTTCTCTGTGCCAGAAATTGGAGCTGCAAAAGTGAATAAGCTGGTCTTTTCCCTTCAGAGTTCAGTGGGCATTCAGTGGCTACTCCATTTCCATTGGCACCAATGTTATTTGTAAATACTTTTTTTAATGAATTTCTTAAATTTCTTATTAAGTGATATTGGGAGAATTAAACTGGAGTTAGATTTGCAAACAAGTTTTGATAATTTAGCTTTATGATTTCCCAGAATGTGTTGTTTATATTTGTTTCCCAGAATGTGTCAGTCTTACCTTGCTTTTATAAGATTAAAGAAAGATAAAACAAATGAACCCATAGTTTGTTTACTAGGCTTTGGTTTGGTGACCAGTTGAATGAAGAGGTCTCAGAAAATTAAACTGGGTTACGTGAAAGATGCATGGTCATTTCTGAAGTAGTGTTTTGAGAACCACATTATAGTTGACCCCTGAGCAACACAGGGGTCAGGGACACCCACCCTCTGCTCAGTTGATAATCCAAATATAACTGTACAGTTGGCCCTCTGTATCCATGGTTCCACATCCGTGGATTCAACCAACCGCGGATTGTGTGGCACTGTAGTATTTACTATGGAAAAAAAAGCTGCATGTAAGTGGACTTGTGTGGTTCAAACCTGCGTCATTCACGGGCCCACTGTACTAAGCTGGACACTCAGTGTTGTTTTCCTTTGCTGTTGCTCTGAGTTTTTCAGGTTAAACTGAAACTTTAAAGATGTGTTATCTAGAGAGGAAGGATTAGTTTTGAATACCAGGTAGGCTGGGAGAAAAGTGCATGACAGCCTCTAAAGCTTTTTGGTGCAGTTGTCTTCCACAGTCATTGTGGGCAAGGAATTTCTGAAGCCATGGCCTGGGAGGGGGTTGCAAATAGAGTGTTAACTCTGCAGTCGGCCTAACTGCCTGTTCAGCTCTGGGGTGGACATTGGTCTTAGTCCGGGGATAGAGCAGTGACCTCCACAGACTGATGTAGGTTTTCATGGAGTTTACATTGACTGTGGATTAAAATTGTAGGTTCTGAAGTGGACCCCGGGGGCATGCCCTACAAAACTTTGGAGACATGGTCAAATTTCAGCCATACTTAGTTAAGAAATGAAAGTCATTAATTTTCCTCCATTTAGCCTCAGTGACTTGAACTTGTCTCAAGCTTAACATGACAAGGTGTTGCCAAGTTCACTTTGTCTGGCACTGAAGACAGTGAGCATTTTCCGGTGGGATGTGCTGTCTAGGAAATTCTCTGTCCATGCTGCCGTCACCTGAGCCGGTTAGTTGTCACAGGAGCCTTGAGGAGGAGAAAGTATAGGCATTCCTTGATTTTTTTTAGGTGACTCATTGGAGCAATCAGCCACCAGTACCCTGGGCTCTGCTTTTATTCACCCTGCTTCTGTGCTGCCTTGGGGCCTTTCATTTAGAAATCAAAACGGAGAGCTTTCAGGTGGTCTGCGGTTCAGATATTAAGAAGGGAAGACACTGTGGAAGGCGACTGCAGATGACCGGGGCTGACTTCTGCTCAGGACCAGAACTGCTATACTGAGGGAGGGAGGCGGCATCCACCCTCACCCCCGCCCCAAGCACAGTGGGACCCGCTCGGCCAAGGTGTTGGGGTCTTAGAATCCATGCACAGAAAGGTGGAGAAATGAGCAGACAGACCGAAGTTTTGCCCGGGGTCAGACGTGACCCAGGGGGAAGTTAAGTATTTCCCTTCCCATCTATATCACCTTCTCTTCCTGAGACACAGAGGAAGGCAAAACAGGATTTGTATAACACAGTTTCAATGGCAAAATGCTGTCTGAGCCTGGGAACTGACAGACTTTTGGAATGTGTCCATATGTTAGAAACTACCCATGTTAAGCATTTCTTTGCAGTTTAGGGATTTTAATCAAATTTTTTTTCATCTTTCCATCTGTGAGAAAGAGATTGATTTCTTATTTTGAGAAGTGAGCCATTTTGTGAGTTTCAGAATGTTGAGGTGTTTTAAAGGTGGCAGTAAGGATTTACCAGCATGAGCTGTGGAGTTCTGACTGCGTTTGAGATGGGTCTTCCCACTGTGACCTGGGGCAGGTGTCTCTCTGGAAGTCCCCATTTCCCTCCTGGACTGCTCTTGGTGTGTGATAAGGCTTTTAGTAAGTGGTAACTCTTGGTTTTGTTGTTGTCATCCTCTTACGTTGCTCTATTCTGCCAGGGATAGTATATATTGATCATTCACATGTAGATTGTTGATTCTGTCTTTGTAATCAGTGTCATTAAAAATTACAGATTTCTACTTGGTGGGATATGAGGAAACCTGGTTATTAATAAGATCTAACCCTCCACCTTCCTGTCACATCTGTGAGGTCATTTCTGGTTTTTTCCCCTTAATTGGGGGCATATATTACGGTTTTTTCTTTATAAAAGGATAACGGCCCACCACCACCAAAAAAAAGGTAGTTAATTGTGCTAAATCAGCCGTGTAATAGGTGTTTTTGTAAGGCTTCTACTTTTTGCTGTTGACACAAAATAGTTTTTTAAAAATTGAATATATGTAATTAATAATGCCCTGAATCTAGAACTTCCATCTTATCTCATTCTATAGAACAGAAGGATTTCACTCGTGAATTACTTGACCACATGGTCTTATATATAGGAAAATTCATTCTAGAGGTTTATTTTATAAATAGTACATGGATGTAGCTTTATTGTGTCAGGGTGCTGACTGGTGATATCAGGCACCTTGGCTTCTGTCACTGAATGTTACTGGACCAGGTGATCTCTTCAGATACCTCTTACCTCTGAAGTTCCATGATACTGCGTTATTTTAACATGGGAAGATTGGACATCTTCACTACCTTTTTGCATTCTTTAACCCCTACCCCTCTTGCCTTTCAGCATTAAACTGAGAAGATGTCCCTGTACGACGACCTGGGAGTGGAGACCAGTGACTCAAAAACGGAAGGCTGGTCCAAAAACTTCAAACTTCTGCAGTCTCAGCTCCAGGTGAAGAAGGCAGCTCTCACTCAGGCAAAGGTAAGAGAAGCTAAGCCCAGCTTGAGAGCAGAGGTGTACCAGCAGGTGCCTCCTAAGGATTAAGAGTAACCTGCTCCTCTGCCTCTTTGTTGAATATGTAGGGTTTGTTGAATATGTAGGGTTCAATTTGTAAGGGGAGAGGCTGGGGTGGGGGAGGGAGAGGAATAGGTGTTGAAGGTCATTTCACTTCTCCTGGGAATAGAACTGTTTCAGGGAATCAGAATGAGGAAAAGCATACTCTTGGTTTCCAGCAATGATGCTGGTTGTCAAACTTCAGTATGCAGGTTGTCAATCTTGGTTGTCCAAGATTGAGAATTTGGTTAAAAGGCTATATAACACCTGATACTCTGGTAAATCCTGATTCTGGGTTGGGGCCTGGGGAGTCTGCATTTTTACGGAGCAGTCCTGCTGTTGTAGGTGGTTTGGAAGCAGCACTTTGAGAACGAAGCTCTGCGGTAATGACTGAGCTGTGATGATGTGTGTGTTACTGAAGGCTGGGGTTGGTTGTGAACGTATCAGGGTTTGTAGTCTGGGGTAATTGTTTTTGTCTCTGTTGTGTAATGTTGGGCGTTGGCAACATCCTTGAAATCATTCACCAGGTAAAACATTAAAAAAAAAAACGTAATTGTCTACTGGATATTTGATATTAAAATGTTCCTATCAAATACGTTTAGGAATGAGAATGGTATTATGGTTTGCTTGTTGTTTTAGAACATGATTCCCCAGTGGAGGCTGTATCCTCTCCAGATGGGCCAAATATTGGTTCTAAGGGGTGAAAATATCCTGCTCTTCTTATGTATAAGGGCCAGATATACACAGAATACATAAACAGGTGTGTAGTGTATCTGTGGTATTAAAATTTCATAGGTGGAGAAGAAAATGTATTAAAAGGTTCCTTGAAGGAGGAGGCAATAATGAAAAAAGAAGTTGAGAAGAACTTCTTTAGAGATACATATTTACCAGTAAGATGAAATATTTACTGATAAGATGATATCATTTCTGGGATTTACTTTAAAATACTCCAGTCTCTGGCAGGGGAGGCAGGGATACATGAAACAAGATTTGCCACGAGTTGGTAGTTGTTGAAGCCAGGTTAAAGAGACATGAGTTCATTAATCATTCTCCTTAATGTTTGAAAATTCACACAATAAATTTTTTTAAAGTTGGAATTATTTTTTTTCCTTCACTACATACATGATTAATATTAAAATGTTTACATTTGATTTCTCAGTATTATAAAAGGTTTTTAGGATTAGGATACCCACAGGTAGAGAAAACACTGTCTTAAAATTTAAATTGGTTTTGTCAGTTCTGTTGATTAGAGTTTTTGTCTTTTTCATATATCATTACCAGATTTAAATTTTTTATGCCAGTACTATTTCTTTTTAAAGAGATAGAATTCAGTCTTTTTAAAACAAACTTTCATCCCACATGAAAAGATTAACAAAACAAGTCTTTTTTTTTTTTTTTTCAATAAATTTATTTATTTTTGGCTGTGTTGGGTCTTCCTTGATGCACGTGGGCTTTCTCTAGTTGTGGCGAGCAGGGGCTTCTCTTTGTTGTGGTGCGCAGGCTTCTCATTGCAGTGGCTTCTCTTGTTGTGGAGCATGGGCTCTAGGCTTGTGGGCTTCAGTAGTTGTGGCACACGGGCTCAGTAGTTGTGGCTCGCGGGCTCTAGAGTGCAGGCTCAGTAGTTGTGGCGCACGGGTTTAGTTGCTCCGTGGCATGTGGGATCTTCCCAGACCAGGGCTCGAACCCGTGTCCCCTGCATTGGCAGGCGGATTCTTAACCACTGTGCCACCAGGGAAGCCCAAGTCTTGTTTTAATTTTTTTTATGTTGGTCTAATTTTTTAAATCTTCATTTCATGTAACTTTTGTTTTGGACATAAGATGTATAAATAAGGTTTTACATTCTAATGCTAATGCTATTTCATATATTCTATTCTTGAAGGCCTCAGTCTTCTCTTTTGTAAAGTGACTGACTCCTAGGAACAATTCTCATACTTAATAACATAAACTCAGTTAAGTGGACATAATTAGTGGGCAGTCTTGGTTCAATGGAAGATAAAATAGGAAAGCAGAAGTCGAAATATAGTAGAGGTATACAGGTTAGATATATTAATCCACAAGTGTATGCCCAATATATAAAAACATACCCATTCCTTGTGAAAGATTCACACTAGTTGAAGTGTAATGCGGAGAATCTAATGTAGAGCTTTTTTCTTATATTATTTCATATGCAAATTTAAATAAAAGCGACCAAGCTTTCTGTAAAGCTTTTACAAAAATGGAGGAAATTTGTGTTGTAAAAAAAAAAGGGCTAAAGAAACTAGTATATGGTTATTGTAATAACTGAATTTTAAGATTGTTTTTCTCATATCTGAAAGGTTTGTTGCAGAGTCCAAAAAAAGCTTTGTTACAAACAATATGAATTTTAATTTGAAGCCTCAGTACACTTTTCTTATATTTTGATGATTTTAGAGCCAGAGGACAAAACAAAGTACGGTCCTTGCCCCAGTAATCGACCTGAAGCGAGGTGGCTCTTCAGACGAGCGGCAGATCGTGGACACCCCGCCGCACGTGGCGGCAGGCCTCAAGGTACACTCCCCACCCCCAGCTGGGTGGGCCTCCTGCTTTCCACAGGCTGCGCTTTACACATCACTCTGAACACACCTCCTCAGTAGGCCTTGCACTCTAGGCAGTATCATTTTCAATTTAATGTTTACTTTCGTTTTATCAGGTTTAAAACATTCATCTGTTTAAAACACAGTAGTTAATTATAGAAAAATCAGAAACTGGAGGTAGGCAAAAAGAAAAATAAATGACTTTGGTCCTACCCTCCAGAATTTAAAAACTTTGTATTTTGGAATAGCTTTCTATCCTTCGCCTTCTCCACCTTCTATTCTCAGACTTGCTTTTCTCGCTTAATATATTGTGAGTGTCCATCTGTGTCAAAAAGTCTAGGACCATATGATCATTTTATTGATTTCACAGTATTCCCCTGTGTGGGTTTGCTGTGAAGCTCTTGGTGGGGTTTCTTGACCAGAGGAAGTGGTCCTGCTCCTGCAAGGCTGATAGTCTGTCCAGAGGGAAGGCAGCCCACAGTGGAAGTTTTCTGAGGATTCTTAGTCATTCAACATTTCTTCCCACAAGTTCTCTGCCTAATTTTTTCTTGCTACATCTAATGAAAAACTGGCTAATCATCTTCTGTTTTTGTATATTGGCCCTAGAACCTATAATATCACCCCCAAATTTAATCAGTAAGCATTTTCCTTCTTGCTGCATAGCCAATTTTTAATTGTAAAGCATTCCCATCAGGTGAATGTATGGTGATTTACACACCTATTTCCTAACTGCAGAACCAGTAGACCGCTAATGAACACCTCTGCAGAGTACTTTCTATGCATTTAAAATTATTTTCTTAGGATAGATTTCCTGAGGTGACATTAGGAGATCAGTCATTTTTATGGGCAATTTATTTAGCGCCAACTTGTTTCCGGCAGAGTTGTATCAGTAAATAGTATCACTTGTAACATGTGAGCGTTTGGGTTTTTCCTACCCTCCCCAGCATTGGGTATTAACATTCAGGCTTTTAAAATCAAGCAAGCTCCTTTATTCTTTATAGCATTTAGAGAAGGATGGCTCATTGTTGAACTTAAGCAGGGTTTATACAGTAAAAGTTGTTTGCTGTCAAATATTGAAATGACAAAAAATTAACCTTCATGCTGACAGTCTGGTCGCTGAGTTAGAAACTTTGTGATGGCAGTGTTCTGTAAATCGAGGGGCTCATTGTTAGCTTCTCCTATCTTAATAATAACTGAAAGGAAATGTCATTCATGTGCTTTTGTGTTTTTAAAATGTCTTTTATGTGAACACAAATGAATAACTGCCCTTTGGGAGCCCTGCATTAAATAGATTTTTGTAAGATTTCCAGTGATAGGGCCTGGGAGGTGATTACAGTTACTTTTCTCATTTATTCATCAAATCAAAGTGTTTTTTGAGTTTTAGGTGTAAGGAAACCATGAAGTGTTTGTTTTATGATGAAAAAACATCAAACTGCACAGTGTAATCCAGGAATTGTTGGATTTAGATCCATTGATGATGAGCATAAGCTCTCTTTATCATGCCAGTTTTGTGTTCATATATAAAGTACCTTTTACAAACAACCTTCCTGCCTTTGGCAGTGCTGGGCATGCTCCTCCTGAAAGAGGCGCAGAGTGGGCACTTGGGGACACTGACCTGTGTTCATTTGGGGGAGCTGCGGAGACCAGGGAAGGCATCTTACTTTTACAGACAATAAGGAGGCATCGTGCTAGGAAAACTAACAGAAGAAAGTATGGAGGTTTAGGAACGTGAGACCACGTAGTAGGTCAGGGCTTACGAGAACCCTGGAGATCAAGACCACGAGCCTAGGGCAAAGCTCCCTTCGCATTGTGTGTTTCTAGTTGACTGTGTGCTGTCTGCCTTTTTTTTTTCCGATTTCTTTGTTAAGGCTACTACCTCTTTTTCTCTCAAAGAGTAGCCCCAGTTTCTAAATGTACAGAAGAGAAATGCAAAATGTTGTCACCTGAACCTGACTTAGTGGACCTTAAAAAATGAATGATGATGTGAAGGGAGTTACCTCCACCTGTGCAGACTCAGGCCTGAGATGCAGATGCCTGGGGAGGGTGTGCATTCCAGAGGATTTCACAAAGCCCAAGAGGATGCTTTTTACCTTTTTTCTTCTTTTTTTTTTTTTAATTTTAATATGTCACATCTCCATGTAATCAGAATCTAAAGTTATTCTATTAAATGACTATAAGAATGTGTTATTCATGAGTTGTTCCGTATTTTAAGTTTTCACAGATATATATATAGATAGATAGATAGATAGATAGATAGAAGTATTCTGTGTTTGCTATAAATAATCAAATTTATTGCTTAAAATTTTAGGTGGTGGCAGCTTGTTTAAGACTTCCAGGAAAGTGCTGTAGGGTGTTTATGGAATTAGTACTGAACTGAGAGGTGAAATTCTTTGTCATGTTCTGCTGCTCCCAGGCTAGGTGTGTGGCCGCGTCAAGTCCCTGAACCTCCTCGGGAATCTGCTCCCTCATCTGTAAAGCAGAGGCAGACAGGTGGTCTTTAGGGCCCCTCCTAATCCTCGTATTTTTTTACCTTAATTCTGTGAATAAAATTCCAGGACAGAGGATGATACTTACTTTGGCATTTTTCCCTTCCTCAGGACCCGGTTCCCAGTGGGTTTTCTGCAGGAGAAGTTTTGATTCCCCTAGCTGATGAATATGATCCCATGTTTCCTAACGATTATGAGAAAGTAGTGAAGCGCCAAAGAGAGGAGCGACAGAGACAGCGGGAGCTGGAAAGACAGAAGGAAATAGAAGAGAGAGAAAAGTAAGGCCTCGCGCGGATGTGGAGGTGCTCTACGTTTGAAATGGTCATTCAGATGTTGGTGAATGAACTTTAGTGCTGTCTGTAAGGCTGAGTGAGTTTCCTGGTTGGTCTGAGCAGTTGTCAGGAGGAGTCAGGTTGTTGTTAAGAATGTGTGGTCGTTACATCCCAGCATGAAAACAAACTCCAGAGCAAATTTCATATACAGTTGCAGAAAACTTAGAGTATATGTTTTGGGTGAGTTCTTGGAGAAATGACTTACAAAGTGATGTTGAATAATAGGGTTTTTTCCTATGCTGTGACTCTGCTAGAGTCATAACTACTTAAAGTTTTTAAAATGTTATTCTTAACTTTTGCTGTTTTTGAGCCAGATGGAGTTTTTAAAAACTCATATACATCTTTTATGTTTTTTGAAAGTATGGGCAACAAGGATTTATTTGCATTTCTTTTAAAAATACTGAGTATTAATTGTTAAATAGTTATATAAAATATTAATATATTATTTATTGAATCACTTCATGAAGTGAAAACATGTTCTAGAGAATCAAAATTATTTAATTAACTATTGCCTATTGTTTATGCTTTAGAATTGAAAGGTAAATATCAAGGAAACTTTTTTCTTGCTATTTATATTCATATACCTCTCAAATTTGTTCGGTTTATCTTCTGGATTTTTCTCACTTCTCATACTTTTGCTACTTTAGTCTTTAACCAGTTTGCATGCCCGCCCCCCCAAAAAAAAGTCAAGGTGACGTCCTTGAGTTCACATCTCTGAATTGGTTCATCTGTCGTGAACATTTGTTTCCTCTTATCACAGGAGGCGTAAAGATAGACATGAAGCTAGTGGGTTTTCCAGGCGACCAGATCCAGATTCTGATGAAGATGAAGATTATGAGCGAGAGAGGAGGAAGAGAAGTAAGGCATGAACACAGATACTATGTTTCAAACATGGTGCAGTTCCACCGTTTCATATTCAATTTCATAAATGGTTCATCTGACACTGATTTGGGTAATTTTCTCTCCAGAATCTCAGCAACCCACATGTGCATGACAGTGTAAATTTACATTGTTTTCACATACAGTCTTTCTAACATTTACTTGTTGGACACTTGGAGCATACCTTAAAATACATGCCCACTCTCGTCTTTACCCTCAGCACAGTCGGACCAACCTGTTCTCTGTATCCAGCTACATTTCCGTTAAGAACACCACTGAATGGAGAGTCAAGGCACTCATTTCCAGAACCTTTGCCACTAACACGCATGACTGAGCTTCCCTGGACACTGGTTTCTTTCAGTGTCGTATGGGAAGCAGGGAGACAAGCATTTGAACTAGGTGCTTCTTAAGACCTCTTCCATCTCTAAGAGGTCTCTAAGAGCAGCATTGTAGTTGTGTTAGAGCCAAATTCTTAGTGATCACTAGATTGCTAAGCAGTGTTCGTTCTTGAGAGAATGGAATGCTACTTATTTTAGCTTCATCATGTTTGATTGCTGGGATTTCCTGGATTTAGTTCACCACTTTGGTTGACATATTGAGATTTAAATGAGAAATTGAAATCTTCTTGTCTCCTAGATACCAGGCACTGTTCTAAGCACTCTGATGGATTACCTCCTTTACACCACACAACTTTATACCACACAACTCAGATAACTGTGATAATCCCTGTTACAGTGGATTGGTGGGAATAGCGTTGTGTATGAAACGGGTGCATTGTGCATCTAACCAAGATCTTTCTTTACCTGAAAACCTCATTGCAATGTGGTCACCTTTAACGTGAGACCCAAGAAGAATGTTATCATGAAGCTGGAGTGTGGAGTGTATTTCCACATACATGAACTCTGTTGTATGACCAGCAGTTTGGCAAGCTTGGTCTTCCCAGTGTACAGCCAAGGCTTTTCAGGGCTTAGTTTAAACTTTAAAATACTGAATGAGTTGGAAAGGAGTGGGTCTGTACTAATTTAGAATTCTTACTCTTTCAATGCAGATATGAATTATACAGATTTATAGAATACTTACTGCACAACAAGGAACCAAGTTCATAGATACAGAAAACAGATTGTTGGTTACCAGAGGCAGGGGTTGTGGGGAGCTGGGAGAAATGGGTGAAGAGGGTCAAAAGGTACAGACTTCCAGTTACAGAATGAATCATGGGATTGTAAGGTACAGCATGGTCACTGTTAATAATTGCATGGTTTTGGGTTTCTTTAGATAATGTTTATTGTTTTAGGCCATTACATTTTGGGGATAAAATAATTGCATATTTGAAAGTTGGCTAAGAGAGTAGATCCTAAAAGTTCTCAACACAAGAAAAAATTTTTGTAACTGTATGTGGTGACATGTTAACTAGACTTTTTGTTGTGATCATCTCACAATATATACAAATACCAAATCATTATGTTGTACACCTGAAACCAATATATTACATGTCAATTACACCTCAACTGCAAAAAGGCTTACTGCGTGCTGAGCACTATCATACACTGCATTGTTTTTCTGCGGAGGAATAGAGTTAACATTTGAGTGTGCTGTGTGTCAGGCATTATGTTAACATTTCAGATTCATTATCTTCCTAATCAGCAAATGCCTGATTTATTAACTTGTTTTAGAATCCAATACATATGTTGAATATTTCTTGGTTTCATCTTTCCAACTTACAAATCAGCTGCCCTTTTTTTGTGAGGAGGTGTGCCTTCTATACTGAGGACATTTTTTTTTTTTTGGAACATTAGCAGGAACGATATAATCTAATATTAGGGAAGTAATGGTGTTAATATCCATTATGTGTACTGCTGTTAACATATTATGGTTATATTTTAACATGATTAGTAGCAAATTTTCAGTAAACAACCTGAATTTTGTATACTAAACTCATTGGAGCTGATCTTTTCAGAATCAGTTAATAATCACTTAGGTCTTAGTGGCAAGGTGAAAAATGATAATAGGTATTTCAAAAGACATAGGAGTTTTATTAAGGCTCTTATTTCTCTGTAAGTATTTTTTCTAGTCTAGGCCTGTTAATCGTTATGCATAAACACTGGCTTTGGGGGATTTCTTTTGTGAAACATTGTGTGCTGGTGCAGCATGGTTTTGTAATTGGTTTCTTTAATTTACATTATATCAATTTTTGGGGGGTGTTTCATTGATGATGAGGTTATAATACATATGTTAGCTCTTCTCCCTAGTGAAAAATTCCTTATGTTCTCTGCTCATGTTTTCCCTCTGGTTGTCTGATAGAAAATGGAATCTACTTTGGTTTGTTCGTGTCCACCATTCTCTGTCCAGGAAACATGAGCAGAAATGGTGACAACACAAAACAGATTGTAACCAGAAGTACTGACACTTCCAAATAGGTGTTCAGTCCCAGTGGTCTGCATCCTGGAAAGAAGGGTCCTGTCTTGTGGGGGATGCTCTGGCCTCACAGGGAGCTGGGTTTCATTCTGTCCCTGCCTGTTCACTCTCCCGTGATCATTTTCTCATCTGGAAAATGGAAGCAGTGATAACCTACTTCTGTATTTTTAATCCTGGATTCAGATACTGAAGTCTTCAGATGTTAGTGGGAGGGATGGAGTAGCATCCCTTCCTGCTTCTTTCTTTGGAGGGTGGTGTGATGTGACTGGTGGCGTGTGTCACATTCCTGAGGATCGGCATCTGAAATGCTTTCCCTCCTTTAATTGGTGGAATTTCTGTTTTCTGCAGGTATGGGCGGAGCTGCCATTGCACCACCCACTTCTCTTGTAGAGAAAGACAAAGAGTGTACGTACCTGTTTCTTCCCCTCTCTGTTCAGATACACATCTTTAACCCAGTTGTGGGAAGTCTTAGCTGGAATCAGCCAGGTGTCCTGAGTGCAGGGAAATGGCTGGAAACCCGTCCTTGCTCTAACCCTCAGCCAAGTGCTCCCTTCCACCCCTTAAGTTTAATACCAGGCTCTGAGGTGTGGGTTTTTCTCTTGTGAGATGCTTTTTCTGTTTGTTTTTAAAAATAATTCATTTTGTCTTCTCCAACATTTCGTTATTTGGAGTTAGGTAAAAAACAAATAGTAGCTGAGTTTTTGTGCTCAGTGGTCTAGGGGCTGTTAAATTTGTGACCCTCCACAAGGTGGCAGCACCTTCCTGGGTTAGGTCAGTGCACAGGTTGTGTGCGTTTACTCAGATTGCCGAAACAGTCTTCTCCCAGTGATCTGTTGTAGAATTTGGGGTTAGAGTTGGACTTTGAGGAGTCATGAAGCTCATCTTCCTGCCCTCTGGGTTGGACCATACCTAAACTACCCCAAGAACATGTAGTCGGACGCGCAGGCCCAGCGGCCATGGCTCATGGGCCCAGCCGCTCCGCGGCATGTGGGATCTTCCCGGACCGGGGCACGAACCCGTGTCCCCCGCATCGGCAGGCGGACTCTTAACCACTGCGCCACCAGGGAAGCCCCCTCGTGCTTTTTAATACCTGTTGCACCATGAATGGTACCTTTTTATAAAGAAGGTAATTAAAAAATTGTTAAATACCTTTTGTGTGAAAATACCTGACGAACCATAAACCCCAGATGAAACCAGTCTCTGGGAGTGGGGCCCAGGCATCTGGATCAGCAAGCTTCCTTGTTGATTCTAATGTGTAGCTAGGGTTACAAATCACTGAACAGGCATATGGTCCCTAACCTCAAAGACCTTTATTGTTTGCCAGGGTAATAAGATCGTAAGATGAGCGTCTTAAGACAGGTACACAGGATGCTATGGGAGTCAAAAGAGGGGTGATCAGATCTACTGGAACATACGGATGGTCCAAGTGCAGTTCAGAATTGTTTTGTCGCATTTTGGTAAACCTATTTTATTTTCATCCAACAGTACCCCGAGACTTTCCTTATGAAGAGGATTCAAGACCTCGCTCACAGTCTTCCAAAGCTGCTATCCCTCCCCCAGTGTATGAGGAACAAGACAGACCCAGATCCCCGACTGGCCCCGGCAACTCCTTCCTCGCCAACATGGGGTAATGGTCCGGGTGCTCTCACCTCGGCAGGTGCAGGGAGGGTGGGACTGAATGGGAGGCACTGTCAGCCCTTCCAGGAGGTGCAGCATGTTTTGGGATGGGGCCTTTTTTGGGTTTATGGGGAGATGCTCAGTGCGCTCAGTCACGCAGCCTCCTCCTTGAGAATCAGGGTTCAAGTCACATGGAGGGTATCCCAGCATGGCACTGTTATGTTTTGTACAAAACATAAAGCTTTCTAATGGAAATTTTGAAAGATTTAGATGTGAACATTATATTCTCTAGTTAGGAATAGTTTGTGATCATTATATTTGTTTTCATAACATTTGCAAATAGGTCATATGAATTAGAGCTGACTTACGCTATGTCCAAAAGATGAATGACATCTTTTTTTTTTTTTGATAAAATGACCTTTGCTTTAAGGTCATGATTCTATACCTTTGGTCTAAAAACTCTCAGTCCTTCTAACTATAATTAGAAATTTGTTCGTGTATGAAAATCAGTTTTAAGGTTGACTTTCAGGTGGGGCTTGTGGATTTTAAGTCTCACTGGATTTGGCATGCATTTTGGTTAAAAGAGTGTTTTATGTTGTTTATTCTGTTCCTCTCGTGCTCTGAGGGGTTGTCAGGTGAAGCAGCGTTGCACTAAGGCCTTTTTTGTCCTGTGTCCTCTAGAAGGACTGCCTCTGGTGGCAATGCGGTGATTGTAGTAGTGACACTGGTCTGCCCTTGCCTGTGTGCACGTGCTTTGATTCTTAGTGTCCTCAGAGCTGGGCTAGTCAGAGTTGGAGAAGGTGGGTCCTCCACCATAGGGTTTGCACACTGCAGGAGGATTTGGAGTTTCTCACCTTGTGTCCGTCTTCTAGACCTGTGCTGCTCTCTGTGGTAGCTACTAGCCACACGTGGCTGTTAAATTAATTGAAAGTGAATAGAATTTAACATGTCTTTCTTTAGTCACACTAGTCTCAAGTGCTCACCAGGCTAACAGCTACTGTACTGGGCAGTGCAGATGGAGAACATTTCCCTCATTCCAGAAAGGCTGCCCTACAGTGTACACTAGAGGGGGACAGACATGAAGCCATTGGGGTGCTTTTGTTTGGTTTTTTTCTGCTAATGAAAAAATTGACCTTTTGCTGGCAAGAATTGACTTTTTGCTGAATCCCATTTAAACAGGAATTAAATCTTTATGCCTAAGGAAGATACAGTGTAGTACAGTTCATCAGTTTTCAGTCTTTTCTTTTTAGCCCTAGAACAGCTTGTTCAAATGAAATATTTAAGGAAATTACATACATGAAATACTGTAGGTACAGTTCTGGTTGAAGCAGGGTTTTGTGATTTAAGCCCTAAGTAGCAGTGGTCAGTAGGGGGCACCCTTGAGACCCATGAGGCTCCTCAAGGTGCAGTTTGAAAACTGTCATGGGATTAGAGGAAGAGCAGTGGACTAAGAATCTGGAGTGGTGGGTTACACTTTCAATCCTACCATTAACTCCTACAGAAATAATTCTCACATGGTGTCTTGCTTTGCTTTCAGTTAGTCTTAAGCTCGTCAGCCCATCTGGGCCTCAGTTTCTTCATTTTCAGCTCTGAAATAGATGGTCCCTAAGTGTCCTTTCATGTTTGAAGTCAGTCATTGGAAACTCTGCTGTACTATTTAGAAAAATGTAATCATCTTCATTATGTGAAACCATACTTATTTTTTGACAGGCTCACTTTAAAATAAACTGGTTATGAGCCCTGTAGCAGAGCAGATACTGGAGCACACAGGAAGTCTAGTGTTTCTAACAGGTCCTGGGGAAATCTCACTAGGGGAGCTAGTGTTCCCCTCATCTCAGGGGTAATCTCAGGATGCCCAGGATTTCAGCGTTCACTTTTTACCTTTCTCCTGAACATTCCACGGCTTCCATCTCATGGCCTGTTGGTAATTATGTGACCTCATCGAAGCCCTTGTGCAATTTACACTTTCTCTTTCCAAAAGGAGATTACTGTGATGTAAAATCCAATTTATGCTGTAGCTGATGACGTTGAGTGCAAGGACCTTTCCCTTTTTCCTCCCCACAGTGGCACAGTAGCACATAAAATCATGCAGAAGTACGGCTTCCGGGAAGGCCAGGGTCTCGGGAAGCACGAGCAGGGCTTGAGCACAGCGCTGTCAGTGGAGAAGACCAGCAAGCGGGGAGGCAAGATCATCGTGGGCGACGCCACTGAGAAAGGTGGGCCTCCCCTTGAGCGGGTCCCTGGGGGTGAGCCGGGTGGAGGCAGGCCATCCTGATTGTGATGCATTCCAGCTCTGCGTTGTGGAAACTGAATCCTGAGGCCCGTTTTTACAAATAGTTCAGAACACGCAGATAGATAGGAACGCCCATGGAAGAAAAAGAAGACAAGAGACTTTGGCAGAAATGAATAGGACTCCAGAAAATCATGTCATGCCTGCTTCTACTAGCAAAGAGCCTTGTTACATTGATAAAACCATAGTTATGTTTTTATAGCAAGACAGAGCCATACACCATATATTGGTGATTCTGTCTGCTACATTTCCATCCTGTAAGGGTTCTCTGCTCTTTTCTTTTTACTGCCCTTTCATCCTAATTTTCTTACTGACTGATCGCTCTGTGAGACTAATGTTATTTTGCAGTCTTCTGGTAGGTGATGCCTACTTGGTGTTTTATTTTCATTTGATTGTTACAGTCTGTTCTGTAGTGAGGGAGTATTGGAATGAGTCAAACATGACTTAGCATTTTAAGCGGAACTGAGTGGTTTTGAGTCAGCTTAGCTGAACACCTTTTCCTAAAGAAGGGAGAGAACTTTTCTGGGAGCCCTGTCGACGCACAGCTTTAGGAAGCAGCAGTGAGCCTCACAGGCTAGAACTGAAAACCAGCAGTTGCCCGGCTTTGTGGGAGTGTCTGAAATTGGTCAGCTAGGGGCTGGCTAGTTAACTGCTTGTTACACTGGGGTGGGGACCTTCGGCCACTGCCTGAGCCAAGACTCACCTCTGAGGGTTGTGATCACTGTGCCCTGTGAGCCCTTTAGGAAGCGAGCTGAGCAAAAATGCAGGTAATTGGGGATATTAAAAAGTTCTAGAAATTATGGTAAAAATTATACCAAAGCAAAGTGATGCTTTCAGCCAGATAAGGCTGCATTTTTGCTGAGAGACAGTGTGGATGCTTATAGATGGCTCTAGGACATAGATAGTGGGGATTGCTATTGAAATTAAATTATTCATTGTAACTTGGTCTCAGTGCTGTAACATGTTTATGTCTGATAATGTTTTCTTACAGATGCAGCCAAGAAGTCGGATTCAAATCCATTAACTGAAATACTTAAGTGTCCTACTAAAGTGGTCCTACTAAGGGTAAGACGCAGAAGGAGGAAACCTGTTTGCTCTCTTTGAATTGTGTCACTCCACCTTGACCTGTCCCTGCACGCTTGCAGCCCCCCCCGATGACAGAACAGTTAAAGAAAACTGAAAATGACACTTTTGGATAGACTCCATATAAGACTGATTTTTAGATTCCTTTTTCGCTAATGCTTCTTTGCTAAACACAGTATTTAAGACTACAGTGAGTAGTTACTTTAAAATATTTGAAATTGTTAGAAGTTCAAGTTGGTTTATGTATTTTGATGCTTGCACAGTTGCTCTTATAACTCTTTATGAAGCTTAATGTATATTTTTATTTTTTATATTTTTTAATACCAACTTTGGGGTATTTCAGGGATGAAGATTTTCTTCGTGTCATTTGGGATTAGGAACGTTTGCCATCATGGAAAGTTATTGATACATCTCTCTTACATATTTGTAAATTATACTTTACAATGGAATTTATGTATTTATTTTTGTTTATAGAACATGGTTGGTGCAGGAGAGGTAGATGAAGACTTGGAAGTTGAAACCAAGGAAGAGTGTGAAAAATATGGCAAAGTTGGAAAATGTGTGATATTTGAAGTAAGAGGTGTTTCTTTTGATGTTTATAAACCCAAGTTATAATTGATAGACTACAAAACTTTTTCTATAGAGACAGAGTGTGCTGTAAGTAACATATTGTCATACTATAGAAGGTGACAGATGTTGGTTAGTTACACTGCTTTTACTCAGTTATTACAATTTCAAACATAAACACAAGAAGGACTTCAAATTTTATTTGGTGAAGAAACATTTCATTTTCTGACTGAGGTTTAGACTTGATGACAGTGTGCTCAGTAGTTTAGTGACTTGGACGTGTCTCTGGTCTCATTCATTTGGCAGCTGTTTTCTTAGTGCCTCCCACATACCCAGTACTGCATTGAGAGCCTTGTGGGTGGGGAAACACATTCTGTGCTCTTGGTGATAACGTTCAGTTGAAGAAACAACAAAACAAACACGTGAAATTAGAGAACATTCAGTTGCTAGACTCTGTAATGTTGACTTATAAGTACAGGAGGTGAGAGAAGGATTAGATCCACACAAAATAGTTAGAGGAGGCTTTGTGATCAGTATCAGATGTGAGCGAAGCTTTGGAATGAGTGGGTAGGAGAGATTGGGTGTTCAGACTAGGGTCACGGCTTCTGGGAGACCGAGGAGGGCTGCAAAATGGAGTGGTTGGGCGTGGTGGGGGTTAGCAGGAGCCGCGCTTATACAGTGGCAGTGGGGCTATGGAAGCGGGGCCTAGAAAGCTCCACCAAGGAGCTTAGCCTCGTATGAGAGACGGTTATAACGCATATGGGTCTTTTTGCCTTAATTTCTGCTCACTTCAGCTTCTCCTCCATATCATGTTGCTGTCTGTTGACTGCATAATTATTTGTTTATGTGTCAGATGGCATAGGACCTCCAAAGGTCCTGTTTGGCTGTGTGTTCCAGCACTTAACACAAGACCTGTCATAAACGGACCTTCAGCAGATTTTGATGATGAATGAATTATACTTATTTCCTTGGTATTTGACCATTGCTTATCTGTATATGATGATAATTGGAATACTCTGTTAAAAATCATTTATGGGAGAAAACTCACATTCAGTGATATCTCTGATGATATCTTTACCTACTATACTTTCATTTCTTTTCCAGATTCCTGGTGCCCCCGATGATGAAGCAGTACGAATATTTTTAGAATTTGAGAGGGTTGAATCAGCAATTAAAGGTAAGTTGTCCAGCCAACTATAAAGAATTAAAAAGTGGAATTTGTGATCTTAATCTTTATAATTAAAACATGTTCTTGTAATGTCTAATGGAATACCTGCCTTAACTGACTGTCTTTTTGTTTGCCTTTTAGCTGTTGTTGATCTGAATGGGAGGTATTTTGGTGGACGGGTGGTCAAAGCATGTTTCTACAATTTGGATAAATTCAGGGTCTTGGATTTGGCAGAACAAGTGTGATTGTAAGAACTAGAGCCTGAGTCATCTCCAAGGATCCTTCAACGAGCCACAGACTGAGCAGAGGAGAGCAAGGCGACAGGCAGCCTGCGTGGCTGTGGGTACAGAGACTCTGGAAGGACTTCTAAGATATATGTTGACTGATCCCTTTTTTATTTTGTGGTTTTTTAATATAGTATAAAAATCCTTTAAAAAAAAAAAACAAAAAAACAATCTGTGTGCCTCTCTGGTTGTTTCTCTTTTTTATTACCACTTCTGAGGTGATTACATTTTTTGCCAGGATTTCATGATAATTCTCAAGTGCTTCAGTGATACGGCATTTCTTGCACTAAAAAATCTAGAAAGTTTTGGGATATGGGGTTGTGTTACCCTTTGCTTTTCTTTCTTTTTTTTTTTTTGATTCATTTTAATAAAACCTGCAAGTTACTAAACTGTAGCTTCATAAATTCTATAATAAAGTATCATCTTGGCAGTCTGCCAAAGGTGAAAATTTCTGCTTTCTCTAACAGAGAAATTCTTCTTATTGACTCCAGTCGTAGAAAAAACTCTTTATGACCTAAACTAAGGTTGAAGAATTGTGAGCCTACCATGACCTGTTTGGATGAATCATTTTCGGTTAAGCTAAGTCAGACTATAGAGTATGTGATGGATTTAGGGGTATTTGGGTATAGAAATCATGAATATAGCTTTTGTTTTCAGATATTCAAGCCTAGTCTTTAGCGTAGATCAGAAGTGACCGGTTAATTCAAAACCTCGCAGGTACATTGTAAATGTGTGCCCGATTATGTTTTGGAAATGGTGGTTCCCTGGGGTCACGTTTCTACTGGCAAAATTTGCAGTAGTGTTAGTTCTCATACATAATTTAAAAATGTATAAAATTCAGCCACATCAGTTACTTAAACTGTACTGGCGATTAATATAATTATGGAATTGTGAAAAATTGTATCATTGAAGTGCAGTGGTGTACGTGGCTCAAACATTTAGCAGGGCCCAAAACAAAACAGATAAAAATGTTTGGCACTACGGTTCATTGGCCAGAGCAGGAAGTGTTTCCAGAATATACTTGTGCCTGTGTTCTGTTCCTTGCTTGCCCAAATGTTGCATGTGACTTACCTGAAGCGGCAGCTATGGGACGTGTGCCTGTGTTGTCTCTTTAGGTCTTTATGACATGAGAGCGTCTTGTGACCCTGCGGGGGAGGAAAGTACTCAGCATTTCTTTGCATCCATGGACTTGGTTTGGAGACATAAGGAATATTCTGACCCTTTTTAAAAAAGGATTTTCTCATGTTTTTATTTAACATAAATAAAAGAATAACATTTTCTCTTTTGTGGTATTATTTTACTGAGTAAAAGTGAATTAAGACTCTGCTTTTGAAATAAAAGTGCACATACCCTGAAATAAATTTGGGTTAAAGAATATAAGGTAAAAGAATTACATAATTGGACAGAATTTTGTAGGATATGAGAATCAACAGCCAGCCTGAAACTAGAACAGGTCTACCTGCGGACTTAGCTCCGGAATACCAGTGATGGCACCTGGCTTGGGCTTACCAGTACCTAAATGTGCTCACGCTAAGTATTTATTATGATGGCTTAGTTTAATTTGTATAAACCCTAATGTTTTAAAGTTTAAGTTCCAACCCCTTTGTTACCTGCATTATTATTGTTATGCTTTATAATAACATCCTTGTTTATTTGCATTTAGGTGGATTTTCCCAACATTCTCATGATCAACCACAGAAATGCAAGTGACTACACTACTTTGATTTTTATTAGCATGGGTACAACTTAGTGAATATCTTTCTCCCCAATCTCTCTAATTATTAAATTATCCATGATTGCAGTAATCACTTAGTACATTACTTGCAGTGAATTTCCAACATTAGAATAATTTTAAATCTGCAATGTAGTGCTTGAGAAATTTGAAATTAATTTTCCGTATTAACTAAAATTCAAAGTAACTTCAATGGAAAATTTTCCATTAAATTGAAAATGAATGAAGCTACAATATAACTAGAAAGGTTCTGTGTAATAGACATTTGTCATTCTGGGCCCGCCTGTGATCTGAAAGCCCTTCCTGTGTTTGGGGGTCCCCCGCATTCTACCACCTCCCTGAGGCAGAGACTCTGAACTTGCTTTCCCAGCCTGTCTGGCAGCAGGGGCAGGGGTTCAGCCCTGGGCTCTTCCCGTCAGCTATCCTCACACTGGCGAGAGTAGGCCCAGCGTTGTCTAGCCTTTGGGACGGTGGTGGCAGAGACCTTATCCCATAGTGGCATGTCTTGAGGCGGCGCCACTTGTGTGGCAGGGTAGGCTTTGGAGCAATTTCTAGGTGTGGTGTGGGAGTTTTCTTTCTTTATGTAAAAGCCTCCAAACTTGACGGGCCTTCCTGTCTGGAGATTCCATTTGCTACCTAGGTTTTTTGTTTGTAAAATCTTTTTCTGCTTAAACAAGCCAGAGTGAATTCTCTCATTTGCAACCAAGAACTGATAAAAAAAAGTTGATATCTGGAATTGCAAACGACAAATCCTAAAAGATGGAGAATGGAGGGCCTACTGTCTTAGGTTAGTTGGTGAAAAGTTGATGAACCCAGTTATTTGGTGGCAAAACATTTTGCCAAACTGTTACTGTACTTTAGGGTCCAGACAAGACTGACGTTTAGGGGAAGGATAGGGAAATCTGCAGGGCGTTGGCTTGGGCTGGTCATCTCTTAGGCAGCTGTGGTATTGGTGCCAGGTCGCGTGGCGTCAAACCCTGGTTCTGCTCACTCGCTGTGTGACCAGGTGCCTCTGCTGAAAATGGAAGTGATAATCATACCCACTTCTTAGGGTTGTCAGGAGGATTAAACAAGCCATACGTGGGAAGCAGCATCACAGGACGTGGGACACACGCAAGCTGTGAAGTCCTGCGGGAAAACAGTCAAATCAGACTAAAGGGAGCTGGTTCGAAAGCAGAGTGAAGAAGAAATACAGCCTCACCCAGAGAAGCTTTCTCTGCCTGCGGCCTGCAGTCCGAGTCAGTTGAGAGTTCCACCGTTAGAGTCCTGCTGGTTTGGGAAAACCTACCAGAACTAAGACTCAACCAACGGGTCCAGCAGCAGCCTCAGCAGTTTAGACTGGAGATTGAAGGTCATGCAAAACGGGGTTAAAGGTGTTGCTATCCCACTTCAAGTGATGGTTTGAATTGCCCCAAGATAGTAGCCACTGAGGTATGGGAGGGACTGGACAGCCAGAGACCAGCTGCTACAAGACAAAGCACTCAGATTAAAGACCGTCCAGGTAAGGTCCTTGTTCTTTCAGGCCTGGCATGTGCCGGTGTCCTGGTCCTTTCCAGCCTTCGTGTGTTGGGTACTGTGTCCAGGGCAGATGGCCTGGCTTTCTAGCTGTAGCTGCACAGCATGGAGAGCCACATTTGACCTGATGGAGAAAACACATCACCCAGAGACTGGACTGTAGTCAACAGCAAGAGACCGGAGTCGCCTTCCTCAGGATGGGGTGAGTGCTTTTAAAGTGTATGTACGGGATGATCAATGTATACTTTGTGGGGAGCCAAAAAGGTTGGCTGTGGCAGACACTGCATAGCCCAGCACCTATTCCCAAGCTCCTCCTTTCATTCCTAGGCCTCTATTTTAAAGGCCGGAAAAAATGAACCTCTAATGTGGAACTAGGGGTGGCCATGTGTCCGATCAGTGAGCTGTAAGTGGCAATTGAGGTAGTTTTAGAAATGCTTTTCACTTTTCCAAGTAAGCCAAGGCAACCATTTGGTGAACTTGAGGCCAACGTGCCAGGCGTGGTGGGAAGGGGAGTCCTGGTCACGGGCAGTGAGGGGCTGCCGCAGCCCTGGGTGCAGCTCTTGTGGGGGGAAAACCATGTGAGCCCCTGGACCCGTGGTTTCTGTGTTGCTTGTAGGTACATTCACCTCTTGCTGATTGCTTTCCACAATGTGTGTAATATATTCAAAATCTGGGGGAGATTATTTTGCAGACAATTAAAAAATCACCTATGAGTATAAAACCTTGCAGACTGTTATTTTCTCATAGTTTGCTTTTCCTCTAAGTCATCCGTATCTAAACTGAAGGAGAATTCAGGTCTTCATTTCGTTTCAACAAGCATTTCTTTGTAAATTGCTTTGTATATATTGGTATTGTTTTTAGCACTGACAATGAAAAAAATGAACAAGGTAGTAATCCTTGCTTTCAAAGAGTTCACAGTTTATTTCAGAGAGAGAGAAGCAAAAGCAGTGCAAGGTGAAACAGGCTAACTTAAGAGATGGCCCTCGACTGAGCTCTTTGTGGTTAATGGCACTTATCTCTAGTCCCAGCATCTAGCATGTGTCTGGTATACAATAAATTGGCAGTAAATTTGCTGACTGTGTGTGAAGTCCTGAGGTCCTAGATGACCGAGCAGATCTGTTAGGTGTGGCAAAGGCCAAGATGGCAATAAACGAGAGGGGATGTGTGCTGGGGCTTGAAGGAAGAAGAGGCATTGCCCTCTGGAAAGGCAGCAGGGGGGCTTCCAGACAGAACTGCAGGGGAAGGGTGGAAGAGTGACAGCGTGACCCCGTCTGTCTCACTGCTGCCTTCTGACCTTGGGCTGGTTATGATTTCACATCCCCAGCTCTATTAGTTATTCCTCTCCCATATTTTAAAAAATAACTAGAATTTTAGATTTATAGATTGCCTTGACAGTAGTACAAGAGTTCCCTTATACACTCCCAGCTTCCTCTGTTACTAATATATTAGTGTGGTACATTTGTCACAATTAATGCATCAGTATTGACACATTATTATATACCTGTAGAATATATAGTATTAGCATATTATGTACTTTATTCAGATTTCTCTAGTTGTTAGCTGAGGTCCTTTTTCTGTTTTAGGATCCCATTCAGGATACCACATTACATTTAATAGTCTTATCTTCTTAGGCTCCTCCTGGTTGTTTCTCAGACTTTCCTTGTTTTTTGATGACATTGACAGTTTTGAGTACTGGTAAAGTATTTTGTAGATCATCCCTCAACTGGGATTTGTCAGGTGTTTTTCTCATGGTTAGACTGGGGTAATGTTTTAGGGAGAGGAAGACCACAGAGGTGAAGTGCGTTCCCATCACTTTGTATCAAGGGTGCACACTATGAACACAACTTATCCCTGTTCATGTTGACTTGGTCACCTGGCTGAGGTCATGTTTGTCAGGCCTG